CTCCCCTGAACCCTTTTCACCTGGTATTCTGTGGTATTGCTGATGGCTAACTTCACTGCACCTCTACCCTATCTGCCCTCCATTTCATTTTTGACAGTTTCCAATTTTCCTAGAGTCATACTTCACATATTCCATATTCCAATTATTAATGGATGTTTACAGCTGTTTCTCTTCATTTTGAGTTGTTCCCCATCAGCAAATGAAGGTCCCAAGGGCTTTACTCCCACAGGCTTTACTCCATTCGTGTCATCACAGTCTACTCTAATTTGAGGAGGCAGCTCTTCCCCAGTTGCATTTTGAGTGCCTGCCAACCTGAGGGGCTCATTTACCAGCAGTATATCTGGCAGTGTTCTCTGCAATTCATAAAGTTTTCAGTGACTAAATATTTGGAAATAGTTTGTCTCTTCTTTCTTTTAGTTTGTCTTCGTCTGGAAGGTCATCTGAAACCTGTCCACCGTGGGTGACCTTGTTGGTATTAAAACACCCGTGGCATAGCTTCTAGAATCACAGTAATTCACAAGCCACCATAGTATGACAAAGTGACAGATGAGTGGTGGTCCGATTTATAGTTACTCTGTATAGGGTTTCCGAGGCATTACATCTTTTGGGGGAGCAGAAAGCCTTATTCTCTCCTGTAGCAGTTTGTGGGCTCAAACCTTGGATCTTATGGTTTGAAGTCCAGTACTTATCATATGTAGCACTAAATAACTAAGACATTTGCCTGAAAGAAAAGCTATACCATTATAGTATGAAAGAAACACTTTTGTAAAAGCATATTTTAGTTCTGCTTTCTAAGTAGTAAATTTGCTTAGTCAGAATATGTAATGATTCTAATTTAGAAACTGAGTGCAAGGACAAAGAAAGAGTTTTAAATAAAGCAGAATATAGAACATTTGATGGCCAGAGTAAAAAGGAAAAGAAAATACGAATCCAAGGCCTGATGAAGATCCAGCTGACTTCTCGCTCTTTAGTGGCTTTGTACTCTGAGAACTGCATTATTACACCAGCATGCTGGGAAATGTCACTGATGTCCAGTCTTCAGAGCACAGAAAATGATCCCTTTTGAAAGTGGAACTTAGAATGTAAAATGCAGTACACTGACAATAAAGGAGACAAACTCCCATCTTCTCTACTGTAGTAGCATTGGACTCAGTCCATTATCAAGGGAATTATATTTCAATTGGGTGGTGTTTGGATCTGAGACTTTCGCTTTCAGAACTATCTCTAAGCAAATTTATTATGATGCAATCACATTACAGGGGATGGGGTTGTGGGGGAACATTATGTACAAAGTAAATAAGGGGTTTTTCACAGTTTGGAATGAGTTTTGATTATTCCACTTAAGAATGCATTGATTAGTAGCACTGAAGAAAAAAAATATCCTTGTGAAGACCTTGGGTTAATTTTTCCAGCTGCATTTGTCATTTATTTATATATACATTTGGAAGGGGCAACACTTGTATGTGCTTGTAGAAATCAATATATTTTGCTTCTGTCATAATATATTCCTTACAGAAAGAAAGAAAGATGATCAGATAAGCCTGTAACCTCAGGATTGATTGGAGAAATTTAAAGCCCTATTTTAGTGTGTGAAACGTGAAATTGTGCTGTCTGAAAAACTGCAAAGTATTAAAGTAGAGGTAAACAACATCTTTGTGGGCTGGGGGATGGATTCAAGGATCAGAAAAGGATGAATGCAGTCAAGCAGTTGCTTGCTCATTATTTCTAAGCCTAATGTACTCCTCCAAGCTTCTTACTGTCTTGAGAAAACATTATCTCCTCCAAAATGCTGCCCTGGAAATCCAACATGTCTTATTTTTCATGTGCTTCACTTTCAACATATTTGCATCTGTTACCATTTGTGGGTGAAAAAGGACATTATTTGTTTATTTATTTTAAATATATTGAATTGTTGCTCCAAGGAGAGAGTTTGCAATTGGAATTTTTCATATCAATGCTCTGCCTTATATTGCTTTCCAGAACTGAAAATAAGGATATCAGGAAATGTTGGTTTCCATAGGGATGTCTTAAAACTAAAAAGATTGCATTTAACAAGTATCACAAACTAAATTATGGGGGAAGATTGGATGTTTAGGGAGTCCTGATGTGGCACTGTGGGCTAATGCATCAGACTGCAAAGTCATTTGAACTGCAAGGTCAGTGGTTCAAGCTCACCAGCTGCTCCTTGGAAACCCTATACAGGGTCACTATGGGTAGGAACTGACTCAACGGCATTTAATAACAACAACAAAGTGAATCCAAGGAGTCCTGGTGTGGTGCTGTGGGTAAATATGCTGGACTGCAAAGCTGGTTTGAACCACAAGGCCATCGGTTCAAGCTCACCAGCTGCTCCTTAGAAACCCTATACAGGGTCGCTATGGGTTGGCACTGATTAGATGGCACTTAACAACAACAACAGTGGGTGTGAAGCGTGGGTTCAGTGGTTCAGGTTAGTGAACAAGTGACTGGGGACAGCAAAGGACTCCCTTCAATGCTGGTTACTTATGAACTGCTGATAAAAGTAAACAGCATGTATAATTGGCCACCATGTAAATGTATAAGAGAAAAGTGAAATATTTTAGGATGGTGGGATTTTAGGCAACTTTTGATCATTTCAAATTATGTTACACAATATACAATAGATTTATAACCTCGGAAACCCTGTTCAGGGGCACTATGAGTCACATGTAGTAATTTAAATTTAAGTAAAATGAAATGAATTAAAAAATTTAGTGCCTCAGCTGCACTAGCCACATTTTCAGTGCTCATTAGTCACCTGCCACTAGTGGCTACCATATCTGACAGTATAGATAATAAAATACTCCCACCATTGCAGAAAGTTCAATTAGATAACAGTAATTGAAAACTTGCTTTAATCTTATTGCTAGAATATTGTTCTAATTAAATATTGTTATGAGTTGGATTGTGTTCTCCACAAAAGATACGCTGAAGACCTACCCCCTAGTACCTGTGAATGTGTCATGTTTGAAAATGGGACCTCTGCAGATGTAATTGAGTTACTATGAGATCATTAGGGTACACCCATATCCAGTATGGTTGGTGTTCTTCTAAGGATAGGATGTGAGACATAGACAATGTGATGTCAGAGGCAGAGAGTGGGGTGATGCTTCTACAAGCCAAGGAACACAAATGATTGTGCAAAACCAAGAAAAAGGCATATAACATCTTTTCCCCTAGAGCTTTCGTAGAGAGCATGGGTTTGCCAACATCTTGATTATGGACTTCTAACCTGCAGAACTATGAGAGAATGTATATTTCTGTTATTTTAAGTCACCCAGCTTGTAATGATTTGTTATGGTAGCCTTAGAAATATAATACAAATATTAATTTAAATATTAATTTGAAAAAGAGACAATATCAGCATTGTGAATAAAGACTCAAACCATTTACTGAATGCTCCTATATACTCCTTGCACTGGACCGACCACAAGGCTAGTTTGAACCACAAGATCAGAGATTCAAACCCACCAGCTGCTCCTCTGAAACCCTACACAGGGTCACTGTAAGTTGGAACCAACTCTGCAGTATTCTTCTCAGGGCTTTGTATGCATAACCTCACTTGACATGGGTTTTGTTATTGTTTCTATTATGCATGTGAGAAAATGATAAGCTTCAGTGTCTTATCTATAAAATAGGGACAAGAGTTCCTTTAAATGAGACTATGTGCGTAGAGTGCATAACTTGGATTTATGATGGCACCTATCATCATTTTGTTTTATTGTCACAGCGATGCTGTTTCCAAGCAGCCGTCGGTGAATTTAAACCACTGACCTTGCCGTTCAAATTGACTTTGCGGTCCAGTGCTTATCCTACAGCACTATACCAGTATTGTTGTTGTTGAGTGCTGTCAAGTCAGTTCCGACCCATAGTGACCCTGTATAGGCTTTCTGAGGAGCAGCTGGTGAGTTTGAACCATAGACCTTGCAGTTCAAACAGCTTTGCAGTCTGGCGCATTAACCCACAGCACCACACCAGGACTCTATACCAGGATTAGAACCATATAAATTGTTTAATAAAATATAAAAATAAAGCACCATTGCTTTATCATTTTAAGTCTCTGACACCCTATATAAATAGGGTACAATAGCCTGTAATTTTCAGATATGAACTTTTGATTCTGACTGTTTCAGTATACTAATGAGATGTGAAAATTTAAATACATTTCTAAAAAAAGAAAAAATCCTAAGAGGACAAATATTTTCACATATAATACACACTAACCACCAGGTTTTTTAGTTGACTAGGCTCTGGTAGCATAGTGGTTACGAATTGGGCTGCGAACCACAAGGTCAGCAGTTCGAAACTACCGCTGTTCCACAGGAGAAACATGAGACTTTCGGCTCCTGTAAAGATTTACAGCCTCGGAAACCCTGTACAGGGTCGCTATGAGTCGGAATCGACTCCACGGCACATAACAACAACAACAAAGGCCCTTTCACAGCAATTATTGTTTAGTAAATTAATGTTTCATATTTATAAAACTATCCATCCATTTTAACTTAGACACAGAAAGCTGAGTTTAAATATTCAATAACATCAGTTCAGCCTAGTTTTCTTCATTTAATAATTAAAGATGAATAGTGTTGCATATTTCTCTTATCTCTATTTTCTGGCTATAAAGATATGATGAGAATTACATATTATGACCTGGGGTAAATAGTTGAAGCTAATTATCTCTTGAACTTTTAAGTTTTGTGGGTGCACTTTGAAAATTAACAGACCTGTTCTGTTGATTTTCTTTTTCCTACTTTATTTCTGCTCAACAGAAGATGCCAGCTGCTTCTGGCTCATGAATCAGCACATCTTGTGCTGCAGAGTTTATCATTTCCCACTTAATGTAACTTGAGCATCACATGTGCCTGGGAATGGCAGCCCTAATGAAATCATGCACACTGATCATTTACAAGGACTGTGTGTATAATGCATGCAGTCTGAAGGAATGGAATCGAATGAAAAGACAAAACTAAGTTTGACATTACCTGGATTTGCTCAAAAGGTACTTCAAAGCTGAATGACTCATTGTAGTAGGGGTTAAGTGTGTTCTTTTTAATTGTTGTCTTTTTCTTCTTCAGCCTCTTGCCATTCTGCATCAGATGAATTTTCACATAAGGATCTGAAAAACAAAAGCAAAATTTTTAGGCGATCAGATCATAGTTTACATCTAGATTCTAATTTAGTTTATAAGAAGACCAAATATTTGCAACAGGTAAATGATTGTGTAGCATATATTTAATATTTTTGATTTCAAGAATATTTTAAATTAAAGGATATTAAGTAAGCTATAGGACATGGTTTTTGTCATGGTATCTCAGTATTTACAGCTGGATCTAGAAGATTAGAGCAGTGGTAAACTAACTCTTTGAAATTCTCTTTAATATGTAACATTTGTCAATGTCTGTGGTTTAAATGGGGTCCTGGTTCAGTGCGGTAGGGAAAGTACTGGATTACTAACTGCAAGGTCAGCCATTCAAACCACCAGCTCCTTGGAAACCCTAGGAAGGGTTGTGATGAGTTAGAACCAATTCGATGGTACTTAACAACAACATGGTATAAATACTTTTCCCCATGGCCAACTTCAAGCTAGCAACAGTTTAATAGTTGGTTTGTAAAATTCCTAAATATTTAAGAATTGACTCTCACTAGTAAGTCAGGATGGCAAGACTTTGTCTCTCATACTTTGGACATGAAAAATATCAGGAAGGATCAAGTTATCAGGAAGGATCAGTCCCTTAAGAAGGACATAATGCTTGGTTAAGTAGAGGGTCAGCAAAAAAGCAGAAGATCCCCCCCTCCTCCAACAAGATGGATTAACACAGTGGCAGCAGCGATGGGCTCAAATTTAACAATTACTGTGAGGTTGTTGCAGGACCAGGCAGTATTTCATTCTGTTGTGCCTAGGGTCTTTATGAGTCTGAACCAATTCTAAGGGCACTTAACAACAACAACAAAAGTAGCAAAGAGCTAGCTGCAACACACCACTGCATGGGAGTAAACTCTTCATAGAAAGAGGACAAAGGACTCCATTCATTCATTCATGTTCAATGAATCAGTTAAAATTAGTTGAGTGTCTATAATGTGTTAGGTACTGTGTTAAGCTCTAGGGATAGAGTAATGAACAATATAGACAGTCTTTTCTTCAGGATGTAAGTTTAGACTTGTGGGTGAAATAGACAGTAAACTTGTACAGAAATGAAAGTCCAAGTTGACAAGAGTGCTGTAGTAAAAATAGGGGCAAGATAGTGACATTATGGCGAATACTGGGGATGGATAGGGGGTAGTTGCCTTGAATAATAATGGGCTCTGCTCACTGTTGGTTTTTTAATGGTGGGTGATAGGGAAGGAATGTAGTTGTTATAGCTAGTGTGTTTGGGCAAGGCCACTTTGAATGGAGGTGTGAAGATTGATGGGTGAGAAGAACCAGCTTTGTGTGAATGTGTGTGTGTATGAGAGAGAGATGTGCCAAAATACATAAGATGGGCCTCACCATCTCAAGTTGTGAAGAGTTTCAAGTATTTCAGGAAAACAGAAGTGGTCAGTACACATAGAGGTAATGAGAGAAGGAATAGAAAGATTTCCTTGACAGGGTCCCCAAAGTCTCTTGGTTGCTAGGTGCCATCAAGTTGGTTTCAACTCACAGCAACCCTACACACAACAACAGAATGAAACACTGCCAGACCTTTGCCATCCTCATAATCATTGTTATGTTTGAACCCATTGTCACTGCCATTTCATTAAGGGTCTTCCTCTTCTTCTAAGACCCTCCACTTTACCAAGTATGATGTCTTTCTCCATTGACTGCTCGCTCCAGGCAACATTTTTGAAGTATGAGAGATACAAAGCAATAAGTCAGTCACTAGAGGGGTGTTGTTGTTGTCAAGTGCCACTGAGTTGGTTTTGACCCATTGTAACCATGTATAGGGTTTCTAAGGAGCAGCTGGTGAGCTTGAAGTGCCGACCCTGCAGTTCAAACTGACTTTGTAGTCCAGTGCATTAACACACAGTGCCACACCCCAGGATTCCTACTAGAGGGTTACGAGTTCCCTTTTACTAGATGGAAAAACAGAGTGCAGACACAAAGGTTGGATGCACAACATACCTTTAGGCCACTAGGAAACATGACTGAGAAAAGTTCTTTTTACAGTGAATCCATCTTTCTGGTCATAGCTAATGTTGATTTTTGGTTCCAGGGGGAGAGATTTTGTTTAGCAAAGTTCCCTGGCTTCCCCTTATTACTCATGTATACTTTTAGAAGCTGGGCAGGCCTCTGCTTGCTCTTTGGCAAAGACTGAAAACTCATTGCTGTCTCCTCTATTTGTATGTTGAAACTTCATCAACCTAACTAAGGCATAGGTTTATTCAAGAGAAGCATACTATTTTTCTGTTCAGTCAGCATTACTTAGATTTGGAGATTCAGTGAATGATGAGAAAAGTTCCTATACATCTGTCATTTGATTGAGCAAATTAAAAAACTCAACAAGATACTTTTAGATTTTGATAAGAGCTCTGATTTGATGTGATTAGTGCCTTGGGGAGAGCAGAGTAATTTAAGAAACATGATCAGGAAAGTGCTCATTGAGGAGGTGATGTCTGAGCTGAGAACCATTAAGACAGAAGGGACCAGTCATTTGAAGACATGATGGATACTTGTCCCTGTTAGAAGGAACAGGTACATACCAAGGCCCTAGGGTGCACGAGGCAGTGAGGTCGGAAGGGTAACTAAAGGCCTGCTCTTCTGTTATTTTTATGGGCAGAAGCTGTCCATACTGGCAGTCATTCATTCAAAGGAATTCTATAATATGATATTTAAAAGACAGACCAAAGTTCTGGAAAAGGAATAAGTTTAGGCTGCTATGAATGGATAGTGTCAATCCTTGTTTTTGTAGCTGCTCTCTGATATAGATACCAAAGCTACTTATTCTGCAGGTAAAGTTCCCATCTTAATCATAACTTAGGTAGACCATCACTTATGAGGTCCAATTCTTTATCAGTTTTTCTGCCTGGATAAATTTTGACAACCTAAGCCTGATATGAGGAATCCTGGTATGATGTAGAACAAGCACTGGACTACTAAACCCAAAAGTTGGTGGTTCAAAACCACCAGCCACTCCTCAGAAACTCTAAAGGGTTGTTATGAGTTGAAACTGTCTTGAAGACACAACCACAAGCCTGATATGAAGTGGTCCCATTGAAGCATCTTCTTGGTCCAGCAAGCTGAAATCTTAGCCTCAGTAGTCTCCATTTCTGCCCATTCTTATATTGGCTTGACTTCCTAAGTGTCCTCTGATTCATTCATTGAATTGAAGTCTTGTCCTGAACTCTTGTCCCTTTGGAGATAGCCTTCCTTCCTTCCTTAGCTCATTAGTAACTTCTTATGGGATCTGGTCCTTGTGCCGGTCTCCCTAATTAATTACTGGCTGAATTTTCTAAACTAGAGGTACACTCACTTAATTAATGATAAGTTACACATGTTTTAAGAACACACATCATTTTTTTAATGCAAGGATAAATAACTTTTCCTACAGTGTAGGATTCTATAATGTATTCAGTTTTAGGGACTGAGTTAATTTTCTTCAACAAAGCAAATGATTTGTCCTTATCTGTTTAGAGTTTCTTTGTGGCTTAGGAGTCCTGGTAATTGCATATGGGACACAATTTTATGGAAATGACAAAATAGTCTGTAATAAGAGTCATTAATGTTGCTATTGCTTTTCCTGAGTACAGCTGCTGAACATTATGCATGACATCCAAATATCCATTACATTTTTGGAAACATAAATAGCCCAGGGAAATATGCAAGCTAACAAATTCAGCATCTTTGTGGTTTCATCACTTCATCCCATTCATCAAAACAAGCACACGTAAAGGTTGATAAGCTTTCTTCATGACCATCTAGCGAATCTCTGGTATCACTGAAACAAGCACAAGACTTACCACATTTCACTTTATTTATTTATCTAACAAAGAAGTATTTTTTAAAACTTTGGTAGAAATGAAGCTCTCTTTTTTGATGTCTATGTAGCTCCTGGTGTGGCACTGGAGGATGAGCACTGGACTGCTAAGATTGATGGTTCACACCCACCAGCCACTCCTTAGAAACCCTATACAGGGTCACTCCGAGGCAGAACCAGCTCGATGGTATTAACAACAAAACAGCATATCACTCCTAGCTCTTCTTTGATGAGATTCCCCCCTCCTGTTTCTGAGATGGTTCATTTTAAACCCATGCTACAGTTTCATGTTTTTACAATTACAATGAACTCTGGTGTGATTCTGTAGGATAAGTACTGGACTACTAAATGCAAACTAACTGCAAGGTTGGCAATTCAAATCCACCAGCTGCTCCTCAGAAACCCTGTATAGGGTCACTATGAGTTGGAACTAAGTCAACGGTGCTTAACAGCAACAGCAACAACAAAAACAGCATCCACAGTTAATCATGTCATCCTAACAGTGTCTTTTCCCACCTTCTCTTATGCAGACCCGGAAACATTGTTGGTGGGAGTTACAGCCTGTGGCTAGAAGAGACATTAGATAATTCACTACATCGCAGTCAGACTTCCAACCTACAGAACTGTAAGATAATAATTTTATATTGTTTCAAACTGTTATGGATTGAATTGTGTCTCCCAGAATGTTGTGTTGTAAATCCTAATCTTTTTGCCTGTGTTTATAACCTCACTTGGGAATGAGTTGTCTTTGTTATGTTAATGAGGCAGGATTAGTGTAGGGTGTGTTTTAGTCAATCTTTTTTGAAATATAAAAGAGATTAAATAAGCAAGCTAAATAAACAGAGTTGAGGGGAGAGAGATGTTAAGCTGTCCACCAAGAGAGAGAAAACTTCCCCAGAGCTGAAATCCTGAATTCCGACTTCTAGCCAAGTACTAATGTGGTGCTGCAGGTTAAAGTGCTGGACTGCAAGGTCATTTTGAACCACAAGATCATAAGTTCAAGCTTACTGCTGCTCCTTTGAAATCCTATACAGGGTTGCTATGGGTCGGAACTGACTTGATGGCACTTAACAACAATAACAACAATAACAACAACAACAGTAAACTTTGAGCACTAGCTAACTAAGACACAAGCCATTTGTGGTCTTTTGTCACAGCATCAATA